CAGCGATGGAAAACGTATCAACATTACTACCATTTGTTAATAGGCCTAGACCTAAAATCAAAAGAAATCTTGCTAAATTTCACATGTCTGATGTAGAAACAATCACGAGGCTTCGTAAAATATGCCGACAGCGAATCATTATGATGCTTGTCACACTGATTGCCTCTAAAACAACAAAGGTGGGCTACCGGCCGGCGGCCCGACTGCGCCTAGCTAGTATAGGCCTATCTTTCTCGCCAGCTCGACTACAGCAAGAGAGCTAGGAGTTGAATTCGTTTTACTCTCCGAAGGCTTAGGACCATGGAATAATTATAATCTTGTTAATTCAGTACCAGGCCTAGTTTAGTAGTTGATATGTAATTCGGACAACCTACAACTAGCCTAGGCCTACTACTAGTACTACACTAGGCCTCTAGGCCTAGTCATTATTCTTCCGAGTTTTTCCGAGATTTCTCATGGTTTGAAAGTGCATGTGTGAAACGAACCAAAAATCTTGGAATATTAAACTTGTTAATAATTGTTAAAAGTTGTAATATTTTCTGCTAGTGTGAAATGGGTATTAGTGTCTGCATTTTAACAGGGAAACTGTTGAAAATTTATGATTAGTGTTAATGTTAATGTCCATGTCTGCCTTGAAATAATATTGATTACGATGAATAACGATTGAATTAAATTGCATTTAAACAGAGTACCACCTTTCTAACAGTAACAGTTTAAGAGTTACTTAATATAAGCAAATTTCCGTTACATCGTTCCACAACAAAAGAAAAAAACTGTCTATTCATTTCTGAAACGACAAGTGAAGAAAAAACCCACAAAATTGAAGTACATCCTGACTTGGTGACAAAGATGCGTTGTGTTGTTAACTGTACATTCCAAAACTGATATCGTGCCAATTACCTTGTTCGCTTTCTCTGCATTTTTCCCTCGATGTCTTCAATCTGTCATTTAGTTGTTTAATTGACTCATCCATCTCCTTTAATTCATTTTCATTTACGCTCGGCAATTTTCCCTGGTTATGTTAAGAACAAGTTATATTTTTAGAAATTTTAGTATACTTTTTAACCTGTAGACAGAAAACATACAACTGATACTACAGATACTAAACACAAGAAGATTATTTAGTTAAATAAAAGATATACTGTCTTTTTTAACCTAATAAACTTGAAATTAAATAAAATTAAATATATGAATTGTGTATTTTAAGTTATTAACAATTGACTTGAAAATTAGTATTTTCCTCTGCCAATTGAGCAAAGTAAAAAATAATACTGTTCTTATATTTCTTTGCATAGATTTTAAATTTTGCAGGTAATAAATTTCACAATTTTCGTAGTAAAAACTCTACAAATTAATGATCTGTCTCATTGGTGGTTTAGTGATTTAATGCTCCATGATATGACTGATGTTACAGTGGCTGTATTCCCGAAATTTACAGAATTCACTTTGAAAAGAAGCCTTCTTTACTTTACAGAAGTAGCCTAGAAAAAAAGCCAATCTCAAAAAGTAGTCCATACAAAGGTCGAAAAAAAATAAAGCCCAGGGCTTCTATTTAAGGTTTTACAGTATAGCAAAAAGGGCTTCAATAAAATCTGTCATTACAAAATAAAATGTTAAAAAATTGTAAGAAACAAAAATCATGTGTGAATTATCATGTTGACAGCAGACCTTGCATTTCTATTCGTCAGGGTATTTACTGTATGCTTACAATATAATAATTTGCCAGTCTATTTCCTATAATCAGTGATGTACAATATGTATAATAGAATTATTATGCATAGAATTACTGGAATAGCTTTATCATAATTATGCAAGCCCCAATGATAAAGAAAATTTCAGTCTGTGGTTGCCTTGAAATAGTGTGTTAAAATTAAATAGTTATAAATTTAAATATAAATTTTTGACAAAATTAAATAATGGGACAACAAACTTATTTTTACATTTGACAAAACATTTGATTGATTAATGGTTGGTTGATTGATTGATTGATACCTGGTCAGCACAGTAGACCTTCTGCTTTCCATATATCTTTTCAATAATTTCTCCTTCTTTGGCCAGCTCTTCACAAACTCGTACAACAGACTACAGATGAAAAGAATAATGTGAAAATTAATATTTAAACTCTTCAGGACTTAAATTTGTTTTTGATAAGCCTATCCTCCTTAAACACAAAATTGGGCCAATTTTTTGGGGTGAGCTTATTTCAAGGAAATTCCCTCTTCAATTAAAAGGCAATTTTTCAGCACTGCATGCCTAATTCAAAGCCAATTTTTGATTTTTTTTTTTTTGATTTTTTTTGGGGAGGGGGGGGGAGGATTAACATCAGCTGAGCTACTCATTCAAATCTTACCCCTACCCTGGGCTTTTGATAGGAAAAAGGTAGAACATAAAATTGAGCGTAAAGTAAGGGATAGGCTCACACATGGGGTAGGCCTATACCCAAGGAATTACCGTATTAGTTTTTTTTGGGACTGTAAAACTATTAAAACACTATGCCCCATAAAAACCATTTTCGCATTACTCTAGCCTCAACTTTCTGTTGAAGTTTTGGGTACATTTACACTTTGGACATGCGCCAGGCATGACTCATGCCCGGCATGAACTTAACGCCAGGTGGTGTCCACACTGAATAGCTTGACAGTCTGCCCGAGAGACAAAATGACCGGAAGTTAAACAACAGTTCTGAAAACAAGGGTGATATACAGTACATGCTCACAAATAACATTCCAAAAAAACCTGCAAAAATTCATTTGGAAATGCTCACAATTCTTGACTAATAGAAACATTTTCTGATTGGTCAACATTTTAACATATTACAGGTCACATTGGATGAAAGATCACGTCAAGTGCCTAAGACATGGCCGGAAAGCTGACTTTAAACACCAAACAATTTCACGCCAGACTCATCTCAAACCACTTTATAGTTCACACTCAAAATTTCCATGCTACATAACTTGCACGTGGTGTGCGTCACGAATGAGGACTAGAACTATGTGATTGCAAATGGTTGCCAGCTTATAAAGGGTTGAGTTTAAGGGGTTCCGGTATTTTCCTGGAAAAATTATTGTTTCCTAGACGCCCGGCAATAACCTGTGAGGCGTTTTGGGCAATCAATAATTTCTGTTTCTTTATTTCTTTTTTCCTTTAAAAAAAAAAAAAAAAAAATTAATACAGTATTTCCATTACCTAAACATGTCAACTGTCGACTATACCTTTTTAAGTGACCGCCTCAACAAGAGACTACTTAATTCTGAACCAGAGGGCAATTGTTTACAAGAGGTTGACATTAGGTACTGTAGGTTGTGTGGGTTATTGTCCAACTTAATAATGGTCATTTATATAGCACCACTTCCTAATATATCTCTTGGGAGTAGGTAATCCCCCTCCCCTGTTTCACCACTTTATTATTAAATTTCATTACATGCTGCAGTACTAATACTAATACCATGGTTTCAAATAAGAAAAAAAAACACGATACAAATACAAAGTGTATCAATAGGGCCAGCTTGTTCCCACTTCTTACACCAGAGCTACTGCTATATAGCTAACGCTCCCCACTCTGAAAATGTGTTTCCTTGTTGAGATTTTGATGTTTGTTCAACAATTTTACATCAATCATAAAACCACTATTAGAACCTTAGCATTCCTACCCCAAGATGCAAAGCCTGTTTTTGTGTTGTGTCTCTTTTGACAATAATACCTCATTATGGTTCTTGCAGTGACAAAGAATTGAATTGAATTAAGGAGTTTGGCATGCGTTTAGTAGCATTATCATAGGTTCCCTTTGCCCTGTGATCATACAATGAATCATACAAATTTGATGTAATGTTTCTACCAGGAACAGGAAAAGCAGTCATGAATTAGTTGAGTAATCTCTAATTCTTTATCAGTCTGAAATCTGAGACTCAAGGAGACAAAAGACATTTTACAAAACTTGTTTGGAAATTTTCTATTTTTATGGGTTTTATGAGTTACTATTGATTTTGACTTAATCTTTCCAATATTATTATCCTTATTATTGTTTATAATCCTTGCCATTTTAAATTTAGTAAACATTTGGTAGTTTATTCCCTGAGCATTTCTAGTTTTAATTTAAGATTGACAGCTTCCACTTACACCAAAGAGATTGACAGGAGTAGTGGAAGCCAAACATTTATTAACAAGTAATGAAGCGGCAGCACTCTGAGACTAACTTTGAAGATGTAATTTTATTGGACACAAGCTTTCGCTGGCAGTCAATGCCAGCTTCATCAGGTGTGCGAAGTGTAAAATGAACAGACAGAGAGAAAATAACTAATTAACCAAAGGGTATAGAATTGCAAGGTCCAACTATCTTTATTTTGCAAATGCAATGAAACAAAATGCGATACAATAATATATATATATATATATATATATATATATATATATATATATATATATATATTACTATGCTGTTAAAAAACATAAATATCCAAAATTGCTGCAATGTAATTGGTTGTGATGTAACTTGCAACCTAAATATCTACCGTAAATGCCACCATGATTGTACAGGACTGTAAGTGTATCTTTGACGTTTAATTAATAAAATGCCGTTTTGACAAACAGTTCAGATCCTAGTTTAAGCCAAGCACATTATACTTAACCTTGGTTAAGCCGATAGGCATCAAGATGCTGGACTGCGCTTTATCAACCTGCCGTATCTGCAAGTGACCTTCACAAGAAGTGTAAAAATAAATTCTCAACAACAACTTTCAAACACAACTGGAAAAGCAAATTAAAATTTGAATAAAATCACACTCTATGAAGTTCCCAACCATTACCAATAAATTTTGCTGTAAGTATAATACCCGAGAGAAAATAGTGTACTCTACTTAACCAAAATATAAAAACTTAGCCCAACCAAACGCAACATTTTGAAAATCTTTTATTTTTTTTAAATAATTGTATGATTGTCTAGAAAGCCATTTTTCAAGCATTAAACAATAAATTTGATACCTTAACATGAATTTTAATCAACCAAATCACACTGGGTGAACAATGGCTGGCAATGAGCCTTTCAACTTATTGCCCTATATCAACTTGGAAATTTGGGCTGGGCGTCTGGGGATATGCAGCAGCTGGTGTAGAGGATCCCCCGAATTAACTACAACGTATACGGTAACATTTAACAAATACATACGGATACAAACATGTTCCCTACCCCAAATCTCAATCCTTAGCCTATAACTCTCAATGTGAGGGTTATTCGAGGAGCTGAGCCATAGACTCAAATTAAAACCTAATGCTGACAAAGTTTGAACTGGAATCTTTAGCACAACATTTGCATGTCTAAAAGTTTTTTTCCCTTAAATGTAATGGATATGGATACACACATGTTCTTTATCCGGACTACCAATCCTAATAGCCAACTCTCAATGAGGGTTATTCAAGAAGCTGAGCCATCAGACTCTAAATAACAACCTGACACTGTTCGGGTTGAAACTGGGATCTTTAGCACATTTAAAATTTTCATGTCATTTCCATTTAAAGTTTTCCCCACTAAAAATATCCAAGTAAACTTAGCTTCAAAATCTAATCAAATTAAAGCTATAAAAATTAAAGCAGTTGACTGCACTTCTGAAAACCTTGAGGTAGAATATTTAACAGGTTGTATATAATATTATATCACATTAGAATAGACAGCAAGGGCAATGAATAACAGTTAAGTAGTGGAATGAAATTGCAAGCACTAATTGCATGGTGCAGAACTACACATGAAACATAAAGTGGTAGCAGTGTGGGAAAGCGAATTAACCACCTACAGGGGAAGATCCAGGATGTCCGAAAGTGGGGCAGATCGAGGCAACACTATCCTACAGTAGAGGGCAAAATTTTTGGTTTCTAGACGCCCGAAAAAAGGCTCTGAGGCGTTTCAGGCTTTCAATTATTTCTTTTTCTTTCTTCTCTTTTGACTTTCCAAAAAAAGGGGGGGGGGGCACGCCCAGTCCAGTCCCCATAAATCCGCCACTGGCCTAAAGTACTACTATAGCTACAGGTTTTAGGTGTTGTACAGGTATATACAGCTAGTAATTCTTGGTTTCTTGTCATATTTTTAATGCTAATTGAATTCAATTGCTAAAACAATGTAGGTAATAATTTGACTTTTTGGGGAGGGATCTAGGACAGTACAGTATATTTTGAGCAGAGTTTAAATGATAATTATTACCGTAATACAGAAATGCTGATGACTCATATTTTGTGTGGCTTAACAGGTGGTCCATCTAAAGTGTGGTTTAAACAAGCGGTCTATTCAGTGGTCACTTTACAGACAGTTTCAGTCTCACTCTCTTGATCTCAGACTTCCTGGCTAGATACTTTATAGCCCTTCATGCTAATATTACAAAAATACCTCATCTACATAATTCTTTTACTTAAACTTTTATTATTTTACTTTTTTAAAATAAAGCCATTTTCACTGTGACATGCTCACTAGTGACATTCTTACCTACATAATTAAAATCTTGTTTGTGATTTGAAATTTTAGAATTTCATTTTATTCATTTTTACTTGTTTTGTCACCAAGATACATAAAAATACTATTAAATTTTTAAAAAACCAAAATAATTTAATTGAAGAAAAAATGAAAATAATTTATGAAATCTTTTAAAAAATGTTTTGTATACTGATTAGAGTGACTCATGAGTAGAAGAAAAAATGAGGTTTTGTCTGCATAATCAACTCTGAACCAATTTTAATCCTTGTATCCTTGTTGCAAATATAAACATCCTGAGTTTTCTATTATTGATAACTGTGATTCAACACAAAATCTCATTTACACATCTATACACCGTATCATTTGAACAAATAACACCCCCTCCCCACCCCACAAGAATGAACACCTCCCTTTTAATAAACACCCAGGACACTTATATTTTCCTTGAATAAACACCCTCCCCCATTAAACGACTGTAAACAATACTAATGGAACCAACCTTGGCTAGGATTGATAATCTCTTTATGATTACACAAAACACATTTTGACAACTAGAGCTCGCTTACCCTCTAATATGTGAACTTTACCATTAATTTCGATAAAAAGAAAAAAAACTTCCACTAAAATG